GCCTGATGCTTGCGAGTGAGTGAATTTCTGCTCACCGCAGACAGCTGTTCGCACCAGGACCCATGACACACATTGTTAGCTCACCCAAACGCCCCATTCTTCATATTTCTGGTCTCATTCTCGTTCTCGTCCAGGGGTGCGCTTCGTTGCGCGTGTCCGTCGAAACTAGGTCACGCCGCAGCCGTCGCATGCGGCGGGTCAGCCCGCGATACTTGACAGACGTCGCAGCTGTAATCGGGGCGTACGATTTGCGCTTTCTCCATGGTAGTCAGCCAAAGAGAAGATAACATAGACAAATGCAAATCGTTCGCTCCACTCACACTTGGTGGTACTGTAATGTCTTCCCGAGACCTCAGTGGAGTGCGCCGCGCGCGAAGTGGGCGGGGTGACCTACTTTCGACGGGCACGCGCAACGGACGTTCGCCCTCGTCCAGCCCCCTTTTTACCAAGTTATCGAAGCCCTTTTCCACCTTGGAAACACCTATTCATTCAGTTTCTCCTCCTTCATCGCACTATTTCCCATCTTATCTTCCAATTTTCATCATAAACTGGATCAGCCAAAATTATCGTGAACTGTGCCTTTAACTAAGAACTCTTTTATAAGTGCAATTTTACATGCGGTGCACTGGGAATTTATTGAGAACCGTCACTCTCACGACTAAAAATACCCAAACTAAACATCCCAGTAGCAATGACAAATGTACCATATACTCCAAACATTCAGCTACTTTATCGCACACACCAACACACTTTCACAACACACACATTGTTCATTTATGATCATCTGCTTTCATAGCGTCAAAATCTCCTGTGTGAACGCATCTACAGCACACAGAAACTATTGTATAAGCCGTAGACAGCGCACAAAGCTACTGACAGTTTTTAATTTGTATACAACAATCACTCGCGTGGAAACTACATCTGCACAACCATTCTTCACGGACGCGAAGCGCATGAATGTCGCTCTATCTCGCGCGCGTTCATGGCGGATCTCCTTCATTCCTGAGGAAGACATCACTCTGAGCAGAAATTATTCAGTGATTTCAATGTACAAACCTCATCACTGGCCTCAACTTCTTCGTCAACCCGACCGTAATTCCAAGGACTCTCCACTTATGAGAAGGGGCTTCTCATAAGTGGAGATGTGAAGGTAAATCATTTACTAATGAGATCATTTTATCCTACCCATCGAACACTTGCTTATTGTCTTAATCAGTCTGGCTTTGTATACATCTATGAATGTGCTAACTTTCAGGGTCTTCGAGGACTGCATCTTATAAAATCAACGATCTCTGCGATTAGGGAACAGTCGGAAGAGGCAGAGCGAAGGTATATCAAAGGAAAATGATCGAGCGAGCCGATCGAAAAGATCTGGCTCTTGAAGCCCCTCCTTTTTGACCTTTTTTGATTATTTGTTCCTATTCAGACATGGCTGTTTCCTATATCATACTTGCCTTCGCTTTGGTGCTTATGCAACATGTAGCTAATGAAGCTTTAATGCTTTATCGTGGTATGAGGAGCGCCGAGGACTTGGGATATGGTAATTGGAAGGATGAATGATGAGGGGACATTTGATCCTTCACCATAGGGAAACTCCACTGCCTCTTGAGGAGTAGATACTGCTCGTTTTACGCAACGCGATATTGGTACGAAGACAGAGAGTTTCCAAGTTTACCATGGCGCCCGTTGAAATGCAATGGAGTCATTCCACGACTGGACTTTATTCCTACTGTCTCTTGCGCTTCTTACTCTGTAGGTAAAGATAAACGACGAGCACTGCGACACCCTCACGACTGCGGTCTCAATACTCTACATTACAAGAAGGACGCCATTCTCATTCTTCGAATCCATGTAGTTCTCAATTAGTAGTCTACCAGCCCTGCTTCGTGACATCTTAGCCACTGGTTTTCCGTGCGGATGAACTTTTGTCAGAGGGACTGTTGCACAAGGGGTTATTTGAGATTGGTCGTTTTCGTTTATTACTACATTGTTAATGGAAGCCGGTCAAATACTATATTCCCCACATCAACTACCTAATGCAAAAAAGCCATCCGAAGCCAGAAAAAGCTGCCTTTCAGCTAAAACACAAGTTTTCTAAGCGATCGGTTACTCATGTTCCTTCTGCGAAAGCTCATATAAGCGTCTGATGAGTCATATCAAGAGCTACAGTAGCTATGTAACGGAGACGTAGCCCTGAAGGTTAAGAGTTGTATTCTTGACCCTGATGACTCTCTCCGCTGCAGAGCTAAGGAAACAATTTATGGTTATAATGGTCAGCGGTTCGAGACACCGCACGTTGAAGGCACAATTCACGATAAAATCGAAGTACCCTCTTCAGGTGTTTGTACGAGATTCAACTTGCTCCCGTTGCGCAAAGAGATGACTACGTCAAGCCGAAATTGTCCGAAACTGCTTTTAACTGTCGCCATGGATTATGGCAAGATGTTTGAACTCCCTCCATAGAGTCTCTTGAAATAGTGCAGCCTCTACAAAGCCGCTGAAACTCGTTCACTATGTGGCATTCACATGATACAACCTCTGTCCCCTTGTTATGACCTATTTGGAACGTTTTTCGTCCTTATAATGGCAGATATGTATAAGGGGGAGCCTAGAATTCATACTATAGGGAAATCTCACAGGCCATTTTTATCGTGGACTGTGTCTTTAAGGAAATCAGCAGGAAGAATCTCAATAATCTGGAGCATATCCTGATCTAGGTGTCGTTCATAACTCCATTACGAAGACATGTCTACTCAGTTACCTCGTACAGTTATAAATGAATTCAACAGATGCCATTTAGAACTGCAGCGCGCTGTCTATCACAGAAGAGAAAAATGTGAAGGAGCTACAAAGATGGCGTGATTAATGGCATGTTATTGTGAATTATCAATTTCGCAGGATGTGTTACACCACCAATCGTCCATTACTGTTCATCGTTCAATTGTTAAACAGAGTCACCTGGGAGAAGAAAGTCAATGCTCGGCCAAACTCCGCATGCAGCTAGGGGGAATTGCCACTTCACTTTTGCACATGTGTTTCTACTAACCTTCATAACCTGAACATGAAACCCAATAAAACCTAGATTTTAGGTGAGATTTCCAAAAACCTTTGGGTTTTCAGCCCTCTCCAAGTTCCAAAAAGGACAGAGGAATGTACCAATGTGAGGTGTAAAGAAAAGGGCAGTAATTCCATTAGCATTCCATCGAAGCGTGGAAGGTCGAAAATGATTGTAAGGATGAGCGTGGACTGAGGTGTGCTAGGAAAGCTCAAACTAAGAGAGGCTACACTTGTGATGGGCAGAACGTGCTTCCAAATGGGAATAGCTTTCTACAAAGATCTATTAATCAGTTCAGAAACCTTTTGAAACACAGGAAAAAAGTGGCCAGTGACTATCGGGTACAGGGGCGTTCAAATCTTCAATAAGGGCGGAGCGAGCGCCAAAGTGGGCGGAGTCAAGGCTAGAGGTTTATGGTACTGTTCGATAAAGCTCTTTGTTGACACCCACGCGTTTGCGTGCCTTTGGCCCAACTGTTGAAGAGATAATGGGAAACAATTAGGTTTGACCTGAATGTTCAGTTTTTCCGTTTGAAATAAAATTTTCTCAAACCCTTGATTATGATCTTTTTTTCTATTATTTTTTGTTCCGGCTATCTCGATGGAATGACTGGCGAGTGATAACGGGGGGTGAATGAAGAACTATTGACCATAGTACATCTTCAAGTCATGAGAATCACTGTGTCAAAAAACATCCTTACTGTTTTGCGTCTTTGGTGAGCTATTTGATAAATGGACAGCTGCCGATGACCGCGTTGATACTATTGACTTGACCGACCGCAACACTTTCTACAAAAGAAGGAAATGAAATCGTAGCCGAGCCAACGCAAGTGCTCTTTGAAATTCTTGGTCGCCAAACTACACTGATATCACGATTTCCCTCACGTCTGGTGCTTTCATGAGACATTCATCCTTTAACTGGATCGTTTCAGTAGTCGTGCAGTAATCTGATAACACTGCGGCCTCTCTACTGCCATCACATCAGTTAAATCAGGAAAGGACAGACGAGGTTTTCTATCTGTTGAAGAGATAAAAATTATGGTGTTCTGGTGTACATCTTCATCTCCAGCACTTCTCATCTACATCCATGATTACACCCTCTCACCCTTCTTCCTTGCTCGGACATACGACAAGAAAAAATTTTTAAAAGTGGAGCCACGTGATGTCAAATGTTGCCTGTTGGCCAAGAAGACAATTTTATAAAAATTTAGAGAAGATTCTATAAATATTTTGCTTTTGTTACAGTATGGTTTGAGGCGGTTTGTTCGAAAAACTTGGCCCAAGATTTCACCTTGTTTGCACTCAGCACGTTTTGTTTGATCAAGATCTATCCCGGTGCATGGGCATTCAGTGGCTGCGATGCCTGTGGATACACAGGCAATGGTCTTCTCAATGAAGGTATAAGAGTTCCAAGAAGGTGCAGTTCAGGGTAGAGAAAGGGAGTGCCCGCATACGACGTCCTTGATGTTATGGTCACAAAAGGTGTTTACGAGTGGTATTGTGACCAGACGATCATCCAGCAGTGAGAATTACTACGTTGTCATATAGGTTGCTTAAAAAGTCCTGTATAGGAACCCTAGGCGAAACCTAAACATTGAAAAGTTGCATTCTCAGCAAGGAGCTCATAATAAATGGAATAACTGTTTCGAATAGGCTGTAAACCGCAAACGGTGGTTGCCGTAACCACGATCGCAGCAATGAAACCGGCCAAACAAGTCGATGGAGCCATAAAAATTCACTTTGCGCACATATCTGTTCCTGATCACGAGGTCGTCCTCCTTCTTCAGGTCATTCCTACCGTTCGCTTCCAGTTGTCCACTGTCTGCCAACTCTTCGTTGTGATAGACAAACTTCCTTCAAAAATCCCTATTTTTCAGGTAGTTGCATTCAAAATCTCACCTTTTATTCACGCTTCTTGACGAGAACCTGCCTGCTACCTCGCCAAAATGGACATCCCCTCCTTATTCGTAGATATCTTCAACCCCTTGCCGGCTTACCCGAGCAAACAGAGAGCGGTTCACGTGCCTCATGCCCCAAAGAGGCCATGTCCGCTAAATCGGAACGAAAAGATCGTGAGTTCCTTTGCTAACCAGGAACCTCCTTTCCCTAAAACCCTTTTTTCCAGCTGGCAGTGCGGAACATTTTACGATATGTTCCAAGGCAACATCACGACGTTTTGGCGAAGGAATTTGCCGAAGAACTGGAGAAATACGGGCACATTTATGCATACCGATTCATGCCGAATTTCCATTTGAAGGTAAAAAATACTTTGAAATAACAGAAAGTGATTTAGCTCTATTTAGGCACCACCATTGAAAGAAATTCCGGCAAAATGTGAGCAAGCGGCAGCAATCATTTCGATGATTCTGAACAATCTCGATCCTGAAGTGGCCCAATTTCCTCAGGAAATGGTTACCTATGGAGGAAATGGTCAAGTGTTTAGCAATTGGATACAGGTGAAACGTTGAGAAGTAATGTAAAATCGAAATTACTTTAAAGAATGCTGAGTACGCTATACTGACTGTTATTCACAGGAAGGCAAATGTTGTTCTTGAAAAGCGAAAGGGCGAGACCACACCACCCCTGTCGTGAGAAAACAGAGAACTACCAGGAAATGATAAGGTGACAATATATTGTCACAGGTTGTTTCTAAAGTGTGGCTGGAAATTTGTCAATTTGAAAGGTGATCAGCGAAAAGTAAGCAGGAAACAGTGCTAAGGTGTTCAGAATGATGCGTTCAGAAGCTATCTACAATCTGTTATCGGTAGAGTATAGGAACCGCAAACAGTACACAGACACTTGCTGACTTGTGAAGGAATCGACCCCTCTCCCTGGATATGGATGTGGTAACTTCTCCGCAAAAATCATGTCGCGCTCACATGCGCATGCGATCGCGCGCCCTCGAGCGCTCTGAAGGGAAAGGTTTAAACTTTTAGAGGAAGGATACGGTAATCGCCGCGAAATCATTGCCGCTTGCCATGGGAATTCGGAGAGAAGTACTGCAAACCCCTGGGTATGGATCTACTAATGTCAACTTTGAAGTTCCCATCTGCAAGCTGGCATAAAAAAATAAATTTCTATTTATCTAGAGAACTGATTTTTTACTCTTTCTTCTCCAACAATTTGATTTGCAGCTACTCATATCTCTCTCAAATAGCTCTCTCGCTTTTTATCCAAAATCAAGCATCAAGCTATATATTATATTAAGCATCTAGTGTCTCAGACCTTCGTTGAATCCGACAAATCTTACAGTTCCGGCTGGTGCTCCTCTACTTGGTCAAGATGTCCACGGAACAGACTCTCGTCATGTACTCTGGTCATCCTCTCGGTCTGTTCCCAAGCCACACGGATGCTCCTAGAGTGACTATAACCAACGGAATGGCGAGTGATCATTTTGTGTTGTCTTTCCAAAGAAAAATATTTCCGAAATTTTATGCAGATGATACCAAACTATTCCACCAAGCCACTGTACGACAAGTATTTTGCATTGGGTGTTACCCAATATGGGCAGATGACAGCAGGGAGCTACGCTTACATCGGTCCTCAGGGAATTGTCCATGGCACAACGGTGAGAGTCAACTCAAAAGAGCAACAAGCAAAAGTTCTGGTACACTGACTAGCCTTTCAGATCACAATCTTGAACGCTGGGCGCCGTTATCTAGGAGCAGATGACCTGAAAGGGAAGGTGTTTGTAACCGCCGGACTAGGAGGAATGAGCGGAGCACAGCCGAAAGCAGCTACCATTGCCGGCTGCATTTCAGTCACTGCTGAGGTAAGGATTTCTACTGTTTGGACTGATGATATCCACGTGAAGTTAAACAGCAGAGAACAGAAGTGAGAGGTTTTCTTGATTCGATGGAACTTGGTAGTATGGAGTTGTTGATAGTTCAAATTTTTCTTGAGCTTTATGCTTAACCTTTAACTTACCCTTCGATGGAACAGCCTTCTTTAGAGGCTAGAAAAATCTAAAAATTTGACAAGAAGAACAACCGTTTAAATAACTTCACAACCTTACAATGACTATGAGATCACCTTACACATTACACAGCTTTTTAGTATTTCCATACCGAGGCTTTTTTCAGATCAGCGAGGTCAGCCAGCAGGGCCTTAAAGAATAAAGGCGGTCCAGCGTACTTTAATAGATCCAGTTTCATAACTCCCTCAAAAGCTAGATTTTCGCACGTGGATTCAATAAACGCTTTTTTCTAGAACTACCTATCTGCAGCGATCACTCTTTTCAAGTTAGGCAAGTTGTCACCTTTGCACTACGTAGACGTAGAACGAGAAAGAAAAGGGGGGGGGGGGGTGCCATTAACTGAACCGTTTGGGAAAAAAGAATATAAATGAACTTCACGTTTATGTCATTCGAATATTTATCTGCTCTCACTTTGATCATCTAATCATGCTTCATTTACGCTCCCAAATAATTCTTTAGTTCCAGTTCGCCCTCCTTACTGGGTGCAGTACCATCAGCGGCTCATGCATATAAAATTCGGGTAGGCTTCAGTCCTGCTCGAAAGTACACCTCGCAGGAATTGGTGAAGCCTTACTACAGCGGTCCCGCAGAGGTGAACCCTTAATAGAAGTAGGATCGAATATCTAGTGCATATAACCCCCTTAAGCAAAGACTGTGCAACAAAGATGAGAATATGTAGGTTGACAATGATCCTGGCTCATACACAGCTGAGTTGTGCAGTTCGTTGACCAAAAACCAAACAATCTTAACTGTGTACCTTGCACAGAGGACTTTTCTCTTCAAGCCGGCATTACAGGCCCGCCTTCATCTGTACAGTACAACCTATATCGTTACCATTAAATTATGTAAGCCTGGTGATACTACAATGATTATATAGGAATGTAGGTACTAAGTGAAAGTCATGCTCTTCAATATAAAGTCTCGAAGTTCACCTAGTCAGACAAGCCGAACTGCTCGTTCCCTTATGAAGGGCCATAAAAACTCCCAAGAAAACGCTTTAATGCAACAACCAACTCTTCATTTAGTTGCATTTGTCGAGATTGATCTCTTTAGTTCCCAAACTAAGAGACCCTTTCATAGCAGTATTTCATCCCTAGATTACAAGAGAATCCTTGCTGTTGTCAATTTTTATTGGTTAGTCCATGAGTACACTTTGAAGGAGAAAGAACAACAACATTGCATGAAGATAAGGATACGGTTGGATTCCAGTGACTCTAGATACTAGTAGAATATGCACGGCTAGTAAATGATAACACATGGTATTGTAAGTTTTGAAACTCATCGCCGGTTCACCCTTCTTTATAAGTGGTTGGAGCAGCTAACCACTATCAGTTCGGAAAACCAAGTGAACGATGGACTCCTTCTGAATACGGTAGTCTGATACTGTGTAGTCATCCCTGAGTTGTTTGCCTAAATCAGCAAAATTTTGGATGAGAACTTATAGCTCAATTACCTGATAGACATACCTGCGTAAATCAGCCGCTGATATGTAGGGAGGATTCGCTCTGTGTCATAAAGCTTGACTTTGAAAGCTTCAATAGAATCAGATCCCTCGACTTCGAGGCGGATGACCCTTCCAGTCATAGTTTTCACGAAAACGAGCATACTTCTGAAACGGATCCTTACCAAACGACTATCTATCTGAAATACTCGAATACTGCTCTAATCTTGCAATGAAGGAAGGATAGCACAAAAGGACCAGGCGAAGCGGTCCGTCGATATGATGATGGAGAACACCGCGAACAATGGGATGTGACGGACTCTCATTTTTAAGGGAAAACGAATTTCGTTATCTTAGGTACTGTATAATATCTAGTCAGGACCACGATATTTCATGACGTGCTCACATGATGGCGACAAGGCGTAGGTATCAGTTCGAAGAAATAAATAGGAACACAGATTTCGTAATAATCGTCGCTGCGTTTGAATAATTCTCACAAGTATCCCAATTTTGGTCTTCTCGGGAAGTTGTCGTATTGAGGGGAAGGGCAGGGATTAATTGGGTCGTTGATCGTTTAGAATTCGGGAGGTAGTTGGGGGGGAGGGGGGGGGGGGGGTTGGACGAGTTAGTTCAGTACTGAGCAACGCTTTATTCGGCCAAACGCTACTAAAGTTAAAATGCTTAGATCCCATACTTGTCGAAACTCTATTCCCATCGTCCAGGAACTATCTAAGAACCGAGAAAATTCTCTTTTTCTGCTAAACTGACCACTGCCAGTTGCTCTCCTGCTGGTGACCAGTTGACGGTTGCTTGCAATGGAACCGTGGCTTCCTTGTCAAAAAAGTATTGAATTGACGTGAGCCAACTGAACTTTGAGAATGCCACTTTGCTCCAGTACTAGTCCAGAAGGCGATGAATATGAACAGAAAATTCCCTAAATGAAGTTGCATTTGACAAATTAGGATTATAAGATCAGTGAAGCTGGGTTTTAGTTTCTTGTCATTTTCTTCTGCTCCCTGGATGACTGAATTCGATAGCATTCTTAGTAAGTGTCCTAATATTTAAGTGAAAGCCAAAAATATGACCTTATTCCCTCCTTCAGCTACAAACACGTGCTTATTCTTCAATAATTTGGCCAAAACTTCCTGATGCTCGGTAGGAGGTGTTTTCAAGAGAGAAAACTATGTATCCTAGATCGTCGCCATTACGAGCGCCTAGGCTTGGTGTGGAAGGGACGATAGAAGTTCCCAAGAAAATGCTTCAACACAGCGTCTACCATTTTTCAGTTAGTTACCGAAGTGTAAGATACTTTTTGTTGAAGTAGCCCACTACTGGATTACACTGAAATCCTTGTTGACAATTTTTATTGATAAGTACATGCGTACATTAAGAAGAAAGAAGTTAGCAAAGCTGAACTATTCCACCGGTGGCACCAGGTATTTGTAAGATATGCAGGGCTCCAACAAAATAAGAGATGGCATTGGAAGCTCTTCGAATGACAGCGACTGTTCATCCTTCTTAATCTCGTAAAACTAAGCGAACGAAAGATCCCTTCCGAATACCGTAGTCCCATACTGTCATCACCAAGTTCTTTCCCTGAATCAGAAAAATTTCGTATGAGAGTTTATAGCTTGAGGACATCATGCGATTTACCTAGATAAAACAGCCGCTGATTTCCGGATAGAATTCCCTCTCGGCCGTAAATCTTGACCTTAACATATTGAATGGTGTCGAATCTTTCGACTAGGAGGTTGAAAACAGCTCCTGTTGGTGTTTTGACGAAAATGATCATAGTTGTGAAATGGATGTTACCAAAAGATTATCTATCTGAAATATACAACTTTGCTCAATCTCTTACTGAAAGAAAAAACTCTTTCGACTAGGGTTTCAAGCTCAGCGAACAACACGAATAAAGGCGGATCTTCTCCTACAACCGTGAGAAAGCCGCGAAGAACGAGATGTGGCAGAATACACCCAGTCCTAACAAGGAAAGGGAAAACGGAGAACAAGGAAAGGGAAGGGAAGAGTTCTAAGGGGAAACGTATTTCGTTATCCTAGATAGTAAACAATATCTCGTCAGGACCACCAAATTTCATGATGTCCTCACGTGATGAAGACGAGGGGTTAGTAGCTCGAAAAATCAGGAACAGAGATTTCATGATAGCCAAGGCTACTCTTTTGAGGAATTCTGAACAGGATCTCAATTTTGTTTCTCTAGAAGGAGTTTTCCTGTTCAGGGAAAGGGCAAGGGAGTTAATTGGATCTATCTAACACTAAGTTGCTCAGATCCCATGCTTACACTTGATAAAACTGTACTCCCAGCGTCCAGGAAGTACTGAGAGCCGACTACAAAAGATTCTCTTTTTTCACCAAATTGTCTACTGAAAGTTGTCCTCCCGTTGGTGACCAATTGACAGGGTGCCCACATTGAACCGTGGCTTCTCGTCAAAAAATGGCTGAATTAATTTACCAACAAGAAAAGCGGCTTGATAAGCGTTCAGTTTCGTTTCCAACCCTTTCGACCGACCTTGGACTTCATGCACCCGATCTTTATGTGAAGATAGAAACTTTAAGAGTCCCCACGATCACTCCTTGCCTTCGTTCTTCCTTTGGTGAACATTCTCATTCAAGACATTCTCAGGCTTTCACAATGCAACTTCACGCCATTATTGGTCCAGTTGGCGATGAATATGAGCAATGAATACTCCGTGTTCGTAGTTCCATTTGACAAATGGACTATAAGATCAGTGAAGCTCGTTCTTGGTTTCTTGTCATTTTCTTCTGCTCCCTAGATAACTGAATTCGATATCATTTTTGTTAGATGCCCTGCATTCAAATGAAAGCAAAGTCTTAGATCCTGCTCCGTCCCTCTGCAATAAATACATGCTTATTAATCAATAATTAGACCATATATTCCTGAGGTTCTGTCTTCACAGATAAAGCCTTGGAAAGTCAATCAATCCCATCAGAAGACATATAGAATGCGTGTGTTTCCTATGCAATGGTTTGCGGTGGCCAGCCAATGTATAAGTCAATTCTATCCCGTAGGGATTGAGGGCTTAGTTGGTTAGGCGGTTATCGAGATCCGGGATTCGAACCCGTGACCAAGCTCGTGTGATAGAGCGTCTCTTGTCACTACACCACCTCCGCCCTCCACGATCTACGCAAGGGAAGCACCATCTTGAACCTATTTTTATATAGCTTCAGCTGTTTCTTTGGTAAAAACACGAATCGATTTTCCGCCTCCACTAAGGCTTTTCCTCCCAGTATACCATCTCACTGAAAACTTCTGTGCATAACAGGAACGAAGACAGATTTGCAGATGAAGGCAATCCTTACCTTTATAGAGATCATCGCCTTCTTCTCACTTGTTCTAAGGAGTGCAAAGGCAATCTTTTCCTTGGTAAGGGGCAGTCAACGCGTTGCGTCTCCTGTCGCTTTGATGGCATCTTCTACCAAGCTTTCGCTCCTGAGTGGCACGAAGGGCAGAGGAAATCCAGGATTGCTAAATGACAGAAAATGAGCTGAAAATGAGTGAAGAGACAGAAAAAATAGGGGAAACCTGTTCACTTTTCAAGTGTGTTTTCATTTCTTCTGTGTTATTTGATGGCAGATCTCTCAAAAACGTTTTTGAAATCTTCAACAAGCTTTAATACAGGTCATTTCGGACGCACTTTTGAAGCGACACAAACAAGGCTGGTTGGATGAATATTCGAGCGATTTGGACGAAATCGTGAAATTAATCAAGAAATATCGTGACGAAAAGAAGACGAGAAGTATCGGTTATTTGGGAAATGTGGTGGATTTATGGTAAGCGTCACTTTCGCTTGAGTTCTCGATGAAACCTTCATTTCTAGGGAGCGCCTGGCAGCTGAAAAGGAGCTCTTGGTTGATCTGGGCTCAGATCAAACATCGCTACACAATCCTTTCCTTGGTGGATATTATCCCGTAGGAATCAGTGTAGAAAAGGCCAATACGATGATGACTGAGGATCCAGAACGCTTCAAGGAACTCGTCCAGAAAAGGTAAAATCAAATTGAACCTTTTCCTTCACTACATTACTGCCAAGAACATAATTTTACAGTCTTCTGAGGCAAATAGCTGCCATAGACAAGCTGGCTGCCCGAGGAATGCATTTCTGGGACTATGGAAATGCATTTTTAGTGGAGTGCCAGAGAGCCGGGGCGGATCTGCGCGATCCAAAGTCGAAAGACGATAAAACGTTCAGATATCCTTCATATATGCAGGACATCATGGGGTAAGTGATTCGTCACAATATCATTCAAGAAAAAAACACTCTGGAATATGTCCTTCCTGGTTGGATAATCGTTTCGTCTGGCGCTTTGAAGTGTTCCTCTTGAGCTTAGATTTAGTTTTCAGTCTTATCAGCGTTCAGCATTCTGTCTTACCATCGAGTGTGAAAGGAGCATCGGGATCCTATCTGTTTCTAGAAAACATCGCGCTAGATTCAGTCGCAAGGCGATCTTTTTATCAACGTCCTCAAATTCTGCCAGTGTTCCTTCTGCCCACTCGATATTCGGTATTATAAGCGCGATGTAGTTTGCAGAAGTAGCCGATGATGATGAGATGATGCAAGTAGCAGCTGTCAACCTCCACTTCCAAGTCTTCCCATCTCAAAGATGTCCTCGAAAAGTAACGAGACGTTGCTCTCGAAAGCGTCACTGAAAGGTTTGGGCGAAATGGCATGGCCCTGCTGAACCCATGTCTTTAGGTTGACAATGACTTCCTTATAGAATAGTAAAATCATGGTAGTGAAGTTATAGGGCTCGAGAGCTTCGTCGTACAAAACCAGTCGGATCGCCCGGCTAACGCCGGGCTCTCCTAAGTTTTGGGTTACGGTTGGCTCGCTGCCCGCACTCTCCCGAAATCAAAAGCTCTGGTCTAAGAGAACAGTAGCTACTGGATTTCCAGCGAAACACACACATACATACACACATACACACAAACACACAAACACAGACGCTAGCGCGCTGTATACAGTAAGATAAAGAGAAGGAACACCCTGGTTGCCAGGGCTTCAATTACCGCTCCTGTCTTGACGGTATCGAAGACTTTCTTCAAAACGGTGAACGTAAGACATAACGACATTTTGTGCTCTTGCGATACTCTAATGGATCTTGTAACGGTATGGATGTGATCGATTGCACTGAACCTTTTCCGAAACCGTGCTTGGCTGTTCTTGTAGTATTCTGCCAACCCTGTTGAGGATGACGCGTGAGAAAAGTTTGTAGATTACAGACAGTAGGCAGATTGGGCCATAGTTGTCAGTGCCGTCTGTACTGTACTTGTATTTTCGAACCATTCTTTCATGAGGGTGATCTGACTGTCCTAAGACGAGATGAACATTCAGCAGATAAGGACTGATCTCGCTTTGTCTTTGTGAAGGGATTCTACCCAAATGTGTGGACTTGCAGGGCCACCTAAAAAACGATTCAAATTTCCAATAGAAGTCGACTCATACCATTTGTGAAAGCCAGGCCATTCATATCCTCGAGTCAGTCCAATTGTATTATGAATGCTCAAAAAGAGGAGACCGTTGTCCGTATCCATGAGCAACAGTCTTAACGACCCATATTGGCACTCCATTTCAGGCATTACTGCCTGAAATGGAATGCCAGTAATAACAATACCAAACATTTTAAACTATAAGCGTGTGCAAAGCCTCTGTAAGCAATGGTGACTTTGAGAGCGTGGAGGTCTTCACCCAAGCAGAATCATTGAGCTAGTAGATGTGCTCAAAATCCATTAGCGCTGGTTCCAAAGCTTCATCAAAAAACCGTCCTCACATAGTTTACACAGTAAAATGATTGATTACCCTTCCCTTCAAGGGGCATCCTGCCATCATGTGTAGGGTAGATTATTGTGGGCGCTGTCCAAGATCCACTTCTTTATTTACGTGCAATTCTTGAATTGGAGCGCTCCGGCCAAACTAGTATCGCAAGGATGCTGATTTTAGCTTCCAGAAAGCATCAGGTGCCGCCCCAAATCGTGCCAGTGCTCCTGTCGCACCTACAGCCATCATTCTTCTTATAGCTTCCACGTGCAGTTGCAAACATAACTCTCATACCCACAGAACAGAACTGTTGGGCAAAAACTTGTGGAACCGATCGAGTTGTGTCATACAATGGTTAAAAGGATCTCAGTTGATAACTGCAAAGAATTGGAGTAGTACAAATGCGAAATCGACATTGCCTTTTACTTTGAGTGAATCCTGCGACTCCCAAATACATAACGGAAGGCCAGGAAATTCCAAAATGGAATCTTCCTCGTTTTCCAGCTAGGTTCCGTTCCATTTTGATAGATCCTAAGTTTTCCGTTGGATGAAGAAAGAGCTGAATAATGATTATGGATTTCTATGTAAATGAGTAAATGAACAGTATTAATGTGTGTTTATACCAAAAGGGTGTCATTACTCTCCGGTTCTAGTTCCCTTTCGATTTTATGCTCTAAAATTGTGCAGTAGACCTTTCGAAAAGACCTTCCATCGCTGAGCTATTCATTCCATGATAGAATCTTTCGAAAAAATTATGAGCCTACACCCCAAGTCATTTTCTTCCACATTCGTTGTAATTAATGTGAAGTTTTGAGGTCTGCGAAATGGAAAGTCCACAAAAACTGGTGGAATCCACCCATAACTTGGTGCTATTATCATTGGATGAAAAGCGATCAGTAATGTAGCTCCCAGTCAATCAAGTCCTCTTTATAACGTATTGAGTTCTCCGCCAAGTCGTGCCGCTTTTTTATTAAATTTGCTTTTTCCGCAGAAGCATCTTCCTCGTTTTTGATCGCAAAAACCATCATTCAGCTGTCATTCCATCTGAGAATATTCCACGAAGGCAGCTCAATCATCAAGAGTGGTCTTTCACTGGTGACTGAAAGCAAAGAGCGGCAGATGCTGGTCGTTTGCCTTTTCCGCACTTGACGTTTCATCTTCATGCAAGCTAATTATTTTGCGCTCTAGAAATTCAACCTGTATAGATCGTAGCGAATATAAAAGTGAGGCCTGACGAGCATGGGAAGTGGAGCTCCTCTTGGATGTTACACTACATAATGACAATACTAGGGATGTCGAGAGAATTTCATCTGAAAACAACCTTACTCAGGTCATAACCCATTGACATCCTTCTCTAAAACAAAATAAGGCACTTTGTACGAAATAAATTTTGCTTTTGAAAAAATTGCCCTTATTCTTTTTTTATCAAGAACGTCCGCCATTAAAAGTCAGTGGTGGTACGATCATACAAGGCAAGGCTTTCGAAGTCCCAAGGGTATTCTTGTCACGACCATTACTAATCTTAAAGGAACGATAATTCTCTTCTCAATGGAAAGCAACAATGACAAAGCAGAATTTATTTGCCAACTATCAATCCCATTACTTACCTTTACCCTTGCCTCAAAAACCTATTCCGACGTTTTACGCCTGTCACGACTGTCATGGATTTTCTGTAATTGACTTCGGCTCATTTCAATTACATGTCACACTAAGTAGGTAAATTATGCCTATATTCATCTATCACAACATATTTGAGCACAAAGCTTATGGTCCAGGGATCGACAGAATTCTCCTTTGCGATGTCAAGGCCTCTTTGACAAGATAAAAGGCTTTAAAGATAAAGCGCAGATGCAAAATCAGTCCTTCTCTTGGGATGCGCCAGCTCACCCGACTTCCATTCGGAATCGTAGTGGGATTTGGATGGGTGCGAGGACCATAGGAAGACCAGCGGTGACCAGTCGACGTACAAGTAAGCGCAGAAATCCCCCAGACAACTCTGGTGACAATTAATTGGCTAGAAAGGATGGAAGATTGGTTGCCTGGGCGAATACCGATCTGGGATTCGATGCCCGGATCATGCTTCTGCGGTAACTGGTGTCCACTTCACAACACCACACCACTAAATGGTATCTCCCGTGAACGTGGATGAAATAGACATAGAGATAAGCTAAGAGGAATCTTCTCAATTCATTCAATTGTCAGTAGTAGTGATGTTCTGTCTTCTGCAATCTAAACCACTTCTATTTACTGGCTCTTATTCGATTTTTTTCTCACAGTAAGAGTTTTCGTTCAGATTGTATTCTGAGAAATGCTACCGTTCTTTGCCCACCATCTAAGAGATTAGATATTACCAGGAATCATCCATTGACCGGCAGCTATTACGCATTAGTTTCAATGATTTTGGATACAATAGCCGTAGTTAGCCAGTGAAAGTGAGTTGCACTGAAAACGCTGGCTCTGACCGACCTCCCGTCAAATTCTAGCCCTGCGCGATTTTTATGACCTGTCTTCAGGTACCTGAACTGGCACATGATCCTCTCTTCGGCAAAGTACTAAATCACACTTCACTCACAAAGAAACAAATGCAGAATGCGATAGCAGGTAGTCACACCCCGAAAGGGTAACGTGCAGGCATACATTCATCGGATATGGTCGAAGTATAGGCTGCCTGCAAATTTGATGTCTCGTATTTGCAGAATATGCAGGCATCTCTAACAGCGCTGTATGTTTTCATTTGATCATGTATGGGAAAGTTCCAATGAGAAGGCCTATACAAACAGGGGTATTCTAATAGATAGGTGCATGAGAGTTGCAGCGACGGATGGCATTTGAGGAAGGGTCGCAAAAAATAGAAAATAAATACCCCAAAAACTGAAGCAAAAAAATAGACATGCACGGTTCTCATGTCTATTTTTGGTTGACATGCAAGGTGGGCAGAGTAAATGCCCGACAAATAAAGGCTAGACAGGTGGGAAGAGTCAAACCAGGTTATGCCAGCTATTTGCTAGATTTTTCTTCAGTCACTAATCTCATGGTATTTCATTGTAATTTCAAAAATCCTTAAGATACATTTGAATGTATTATCAATTCAACTGATTCTTCGCGTATAAATTACGGTCGAGGAATGTCGTCGTTGCCCGATCATATCAGACACTTCTTTCAGGGACATTTTCTCGATGGGTTTTGGCCCGTTCCGTTGGGTGTGCACATCTCAAGAACCTAATGATCTTGCGCAAACAGATCGGATATCGTGCGAGGTGATCGAGAAACTCCTGAAAAGCAAAGGTGCTATGGTTCATTATTTGAGCCCATTCCGTTATAAAAGCACTTCTCATTACGCAAACTGTTTCTTATTATAAGCAAATTCCAACAATAACAATTTAGATGCGGCAAAGTGGATATTTCCCTTTGTAACCAAGTTGAACGGCGTAGACTCGAACCAATCATAACTCTTAATAGTTTTTCCCTTGAACAAAATTTATTTGATTACCTTGCTGCACTTGATTGTCTTTCCAAGAAAAAATGTTTGAGTTAAGAAGAGACCACAGCGCTAAAATGCACGAATACTTCAGTGCCAGTACATGTACTGCAACAGTACATGGACAATAAGAAGTGGATCGAAGGTGCTGCCGAGAACCGTCTTGTAGTGGGAAGCCAGGCTCGGATCCTATATTCCGATCAAGAAGGACGTATAGCACTCGCTGTGGCGTTCAACGATGCTGTCAGAAAGGGGAAAGTCAAAGTGAGTTTCTTCAAAGGAATTTACTAAAATCGAGTCCCCAGAGATCAAGGCTTCCGATTCTTATTCAAGATAAAAGTCCCAAAGACTAAATGAATACAGATTACAAATGTTAGGAAGCATATAGGGATCAGTCTTCAACTGTATGGAGCACCTAGTTTATATTTATTGTTTGTATTTATAAGCTGAGCCACCTTTCCATTTCAGCTCTGATTTATACTTAGGGACAGTAAGGGAAAAACAAATTTCGTGAAAGAAGGAAAGGGAAGGGTGTTATTTCTCGAAAGGTTTCTCGAAATCGCTTCCTCAAAATAGCTTTGAACACGATGACCGCTATCCAAAGTGAAGTAATCAAGCTCCTGTGATGTCATTTACTAATTTCAGGCTCCGATCGTCATAGCAAGGGACCACCATGACGTTTCGGGAACTGATTCCCCGTTCCGCGAGACGTCTAACATCAGCGACGGTAGTGCATTTACAGCCGACATGGCTGTCCAGAACGTTATAGGTATGACTTATTATGATATACTTGTGTTTTTTGTCGCAAAAAATCGTCATCCCGCTTCAGGTGATTCATTCCGAGGCGCCACATGGGTGTCATTGCATAACGGAGGCGGAGTCGGATGGGGTGACGTGATCAACGGTGGCTTCGGATTGCTTCTCGACGGATCCGAGGTACTTAGGCATATCAGCTCGAATTCAACTAACAAAGCAAATATAATCCGAAGCTTCTGCGACTGAAGCGCTTTATGAGGAATCGATGGGACAGAATCTAGCGGGCCGAAGCCCGTCTCATGCAGCATCATCAGAAATCCCATTCAGTCCCAGTCTTAATGCTGCCAATTTGTGATTTTACTTGGTTATTAAGGGCGAATTTCTTTCAAATGAGCGAGTAAGTACATTTACATTTGCAGGAGGCCGAGAAGCGAGCAACGTCAATGCTTCAGTGGGACGTTTCTAATGGCGTGGCTCGACGTAGCTGGTCAGGAAATCGAAAGGCGCAAGAAGCTATTCAGAGAACGCAAACATTGGTGAGACTAGTGCAAGCTATTCCCATTATTCTATAGTGCCAATCTGCTGGAACTGGAGGCCCTGTATCTCAATTGGCTATTCACCCGGAGAACGTGAATTAGCCAGGGTTTTGAGTGAATTGAATGAAATGAGTAAAAGCTCACAAGACCTGAGGTCTCTCCGATTACCAAAATATACCTTTGAATGCAGACTCGTCCCCGAATATGGCACGATTTGTCTAAAAGCACTAACTTTTCCGAACTATAGTGGATAGGTAATCGCTTGTGATCAGGGCAAAGACATTTTTAGAGGCGAATCTTACAAAGAAAGGTTTTTATTTTCAATGACATGTGTGAGATCAACCCAAGAACTTCGAATGAAAGGGAAGCTTGACCGACTCAAAGAGGTCCGCTACGAAGTCTGCATGAGGGACTAGGCATAACCGTCTATTCTGTCTCAATTACAGCATCTCATTCCCATGATAGCAAAAACAGGCATACAAACAACGGAAACGTTTCTAATCAAACCTTACTAAATCATTAAGCAAGTGTAGGAAGCAAGCAACTTTATCCTCTTAGCGAGCCCATGGTAAATCCTTTCACTCAAATAGTACCGCAATCATTCCCCTACAAAGACATAAAGGCAGGGTACGCCATAGGGTGAGCAAAAACCAGTGAATGTTTGAGATTAATGTAAACAACAAACATTTTTGCAGAACGAAAACCTCCACGTCACCATCCCCAACGATGCCGACGAACAACTACTCGAAAAACTGTTTTAATCGATTGACAAGTTTACTGAAGACCTTCAGAAAGATTTTCATAGAGCAATTATTAATCATTTATCTCGAATAAAGTGATAAGACATGTGAATCCTTACAGTGCAAAGTTAACAATCTGAACCTTACAAAATAGCCAATCGTTACGAAGAACAAAGCCAAAACAAGAGGCTAGATGGTATCGGCGGATGGGAATACCGTCTCAAAATTAGGCGCACGAATGACCACATTTAAGATCAGAAAATGGAGAAGGGAAAATCGATAGCTAGGGCCGGCAGCACCTTGGCAGATCGCAGCAGGGGAGAAAAGAAAGGTGGAGTCAGCTACACGGGATTTTGGAAAACGATGGCTCTGCCTCGTATAACAAGAAAACGTCGTAATTAAAGATGCGTGGACAAGAGAATAAGCAAAGCGAACTTGTACGTAGGGTTCTACAGTAAGACACACTTGCTCTTCTTTTTCTTTTTCTGCTGAAGTGCTGCCTGTGTTGCCTTCTCGAAAACCTCGCGAATACCCTGTAACGATTAATCACTTTGTGAACGGAAAATTTAGGAAAACCAGAGAAATGTACGAGTAGAAACGACAACTTACATCTTTAGTCTTCGCTGAGCACTCTAGATATGCAAAAGCTCCAATCTGCTCGGCTATCGCGCGTCCCTGTTCAGGTCTAACAGGTTCCTGCAATACTGACTCATCAAAAGAAAGAAATCTCAGTCGTAGTTAACTTCAAAAACGCAAGCGCTTGAGTTGCTGCAATGGAACTCAGGTAAAAAGGAATGAAAATGGATTGAGTTCATGAGAACACTCTTGGACAGAATTTACTTCACCTTAGGGCATCAGCAAAAACAAGTCTTCTAGCAGCAGTGAGTTGAAAAAAGTACGGCGCTACGGGATCAGAGGTTGCAATGTTCAAAATGAAATTCTGCAAGGATAGCTTGCCTTCAGAGCGAGAGCACATTGGAATGTTATCGGAAAGTGCACGTTTAATTTAGACAGACCCCAGAAGAACGAAAATGAAGGCATAAAACGTGGATCCTAGCTGAAACACGAATTTCCACTGACACTCTTCACTACTACACGGTTAACGGAACTTTTCCCCGAATTCCCATGGCCTGCAACAGTGGTTCTGCGGCAACTCTCCGCATCCTTCCATTCGGGATTCAAATCCTCCCTTTCATTGCGCGCGATCGCGTGCGGCAAGCGCGACACGCAGTTCGGGGGAAGATGCCAGACCCCTACTACACTGGCAGGCTGAGCTTAGACAGTGGAACGATTGGAGATTGTCAGCAGGAAATTATAGGTGTACCTACTATACAATAAAACGCGAACTGGTCCGAGCAATAATTTCAATCGCTCAGGGCAATAATGTATTAGAAAGAGACATAAATCAACATACCTGCTTCATTTTAGCCAATTCTCGCACAGTTTGAGGGTCGTTTCGCAAATCTTTCTTGTTACCAACAAGAATAATGGGTACATTAGGACAGAAATGCCGGACCTGAAAGCAGAAATATTGGCAGCAAAGTAAAATGTACACCATAAGTACTGTCTGATGACTGGCACTTTTTGGAACCTTCAAACCATTCAACAAGCCTCCATTTTAATCACCGTATCAATATTTCAGATGCTGATCATGATTTCTTAATAGGTAGCAGAAACAAGTAGGCGACATTCACAGTTTTGGAAAGTGATCTATATTTCTTTAAATACTGCGATCGGACTTTTAAATGGAGTAGTTAATTGGGGAATACGAATATATGAATAAGGCTAATATGTAAGTACCAAGAAACTCAAAAACAATTATCTCAATTTTCTCCAAGGGTCATTTCGAAAAATAATTAGTAAATGGTGGAAACGGTGTTATAAATGACAAAGGGTGGTAATAAATTATCCAGAACACTAATCGAATTCAACTGGCGGTCACAGTCTGTGTTTCAAGACCGGCATGCAATCCATCACTTTGATGACACTTCGAAAAACTTGAAAACTTTGGGAACTAAATAATACAAAAATAAACTGCTTGGCACTGATCAACCTCTTATTTGAATGCGACACGTACTTATTTTACTTTTAATCTGTGTTGCATTGAGTCCTACATGCGTATAGTGGCAAAACGGGATCGGTACGATATATGGACCAACTTTTTCTTCTTCTCGCGAGTCTAGTACCAATCCCCAGAGAATTTGCAGCTTGACTCGCCTGACCGCTTCACCTTCCAAGATGTTGCGATGGAGGTACCATTACAGGCTACTATACCTTCGCTTTCAGAAGAGTTCCGACAACCCAACATTTTTTATGTTTGCGGCTATAATCACATCACTGAGCATGCGCCTACACACACTTCCCATTTTCCAAATCATTCTGATTCCTGCAAGGTGATACTCTGCAAGAACCTTATCTCGGCAACACATCAGTGCTCAAAGACCACAAAGCGAGGACAATGTCGTTAGCAGAGGAGGAAGCTTCTCCCCACTTAACTCTTTCGAAAGCTTGGTGAGATTCAATCGGTAACCAGTCGAATGGTTATGACGGAAAGAAAATACAGTAGCATTTCTTTAACAAAGGCCCCCTCCTTCCTTTTTCTCACTTCCACTCACAACTCAACAAAATAGTGGAGTGGTCCCCATCGCCCAGTTTCTAAACGAATGTTACGTTCTCCCTCCTTTCTCCACAATTCAGCTATTCCGTCAATATGAAGATCGATACGATCCACTGTTGAACGAATCCACGATTTTACCTTATGACCATGTGGCATTAACCATCTTTCTTACAATTTCCCAACAGCACTTGCACATCACCTTCGTGACCGCTTGTGCTTGTTCAGCGTCCCAGTTACGTGCTTGCATGTTCAAGTTGATTACATTCACAGCGACGTTTTTATTTATTTTTGATGTTCATGCATGTGAAGAAAGATAAAAACGTTCAATTCACATATATTCCCACTTCCGATACATCGCTGTTAGATCTCTGCGCTTGTGCAGCACAGTTCAGCTTATTCTCACGTAAATTCTCGACTTTTTCATCCAGCGTTTTGCGTAGGTGATCAATAATTTCGCTCTCGAATTTTGTAACCGATTTACAAGACTCGGACATCCGCAATATTGAGAAAGAAGGGGTATTATAAAAATATGTGCGTCATCTTGAACTTTCCCAAGCAATCCATAACCAAATGAATCGTTATGACTCATCCGACTAATGAAAAAAAAATTTATCGAAACTGCTTACCTCAGGAGTCCATTTTTCGGGAATATTCTCCAGTGAATCAGGTGAATCGATACTGAAGCACATGAGTATGACATCGGTGTCTGGATATGATAACGGACGCAAACGATCGTAATCCTCCTGACCAGCAGTATCCCACAACGCTAGCTCAACCTGAATATGCAAGTTACCCCACTCATCAAGAATCCAAGGGAGCAAAAAAAAAAAAGGATTTTTACCGAAATTCATAAAGAGGAAAAAGATTTTAATTAAACATGTATACTACCATTCTGATGACAAACCTGTTTCCCATCCACTTCGATATCCGCAACATAGTTTTCGAAAACGGTCGGGACATACACGTCTGGGAACTGATCCTTGCTGAAGACAATCAGCAAACAAGTCTTACCACAGGCTCCATCACCGACAATCACAAGCTAAACAAAAACGTTTTGGTGTAGGTAGCGTAAAAAAGCCGTTTTAGTAACATACCTTTTTTCTAATTGCGGCCATAATTACTATCTAAAGAGGGACTACCCGTGCAGAATCCCTGAAATTCGTCAATAGTGAGGGCACAATGCAACCAATCGTTTAATGCATCGAAGGAAATACGCATGCTTCGAAATTAATCAGGCCTACAAGCGTCACTGCGCTACTGGTCAACATAATAGAAAAATAATGAAATTATTGCCAAGCTCGCGAGATGAACACGAGAAGGCTACCGTACAGAATGAAAGCTTTCTACTCAATGAAGAGGACCACCTAAAATAGTCAAGAAAACCTGCTGGAATATTTGTCAACATAACATATTCGAAGCAGTAAAAACAGCTTATCACATTAAAGAAATGAATTCATGAAGTATGGAAAGTCTGTTTGAAAGGTAATTTTGATCTGAACTATCAAAATCGGCGACGAACTATTTAGAAAAATAGGAGTGCAGGACACAATGGAAATGAGAACAATGGGATAGCATAATTCCTCGGCAAATTTTGCCGAAAATCAGAAATGGAAGAGGATGAGATGAGAAAAACAGTATAATTATAACAATAGTATGGGCGAATGGCCGCGAGAAGCGGCCCAGCATCATGTCGCCTAAATACGATTACCAATTTGGACCGACGCCGCGACTTCTGGTCGCAAAACAGAATGATGGCACACTTTTACGAACCAGGACAACGCACAAGGGAGGGGGGACAACTACGGGAGAACAGCTAGTGATGACGTACACAAGTATAACGATGTACGGAGGATGAGGCAATGGAGCTGTTGTGTGAGATGATGACACATCGGAGCGGAGGGAGGACGCCGCCGTCGCATCGCCCACCCAAGCAACAATCGATCGATACTGCACAGGAGTCATCGCAGCTAACATGAGCGGGGACGCGAGCTCCTAGTCAAGGAAATTGCAAGCTTACTGACCATGGGATTAATTAAACGCAGAAATCTAATTCGTACTGTCTCCCTATTCTCAGCAACTACGCCTGACTAAGAGCTGTTCCCCCCAAAGTTATGCGATCCACATTGTTTTAGACGTTCAACTAATCGGCGGCTCCTACAAGCGCTAAACAAGGGAAGGACATTTCACTTGTCTATTAGAAAAAATTATTTCAAACACAGTATGACCTGATCAATCAATACTGGAAAGATATGGCCACTCAAGAAAAGTGCGGTACTCATGATTTGTGCGGTGCATCACTTCAGGAGCAAAGACGCAGTATCGCTTTCCCAATCTTACAAAGCTGTGAAAAACTGAACTCCTCCAGAGTTATGGGTGCTAGGAAATGAAAAAGATGTACCGACATATTTTTTGTTAACAAGTTAAGACCCTAGATCATGCACGATCCCACAACGGTCTCCACCTACTCCATAACAGAATTTTGGAGAATTCAGATGAGTCCCAGAGAGCCTCTGCTATTTACCCTTCTACAACAAAAAATGCATATAGAACTATTACGAACTTCTTCCTTCCGATAAAATTCATCTGAATTAGCTCAGAACAATGAAACAGACCAAACGATTTAGACCGTAAACAAAAAATTTTAGCAACGCAAGTGTTTTCGTGAAACTGCTCCAATCGCATATCTTTCCTTTTTCATTTTGCAACTACCTGGATAGTTTACTCAAATAGGACAGACTGCACCGGAATCCAACGTTATTTTAAAGATTCAAACCCCGAAACACTACTCCTGTACTCTTTTTCTACCAACTTTCAAACATGGCGATTTGATTGATGAAAACAACAGAATCTCACACAAAAAAGTTGAAATAACAAGATATCACCAACTAGAGGAGCAGTCACAAATTCATTTGAATCAGAAGAGGAACAGAGACAGAGAGGGGACGGTCATTCCAGAAAAAAAAGTGAGATAAGTAAAATCTGCAGGACTTCAGGCCATCGGAACAACCTTGTTTTCATCTTTCGTGTATACTGGAAACAATGTTGACAACGCTAGAATTCGTTCTGATTTGTATTCATACAGTACTTCCTCAAAGAATCTAATTGCACATATCTTTACTTGTAAAAACTTTCTTTACTACTTTTCATTTCAGTTAGGAAGAAGAATTTATAAATCAGTTCAGTAATTGTCGGTTCGCAAACAACTTGTTACAAGCGGACTGGAAACTGGTGGTCGAACAAAGTGTTGTAACGAGTTGCGAATGCCATGTGGTCGAAACATCAAGAATGAGTCATGGCCTTCGGCGTATATGCACGTTGGAATTGAAAGATTCAGGCGAAAAAATAAGACATAACAATGAAGAGGAGACAACAAAGCTCCGTTAACTAAGTCACTGCACATAGCTCCATAGATTTGAGGGTGCGTTGACGGTTTCGATTTACACGAAGATTTTTCTTCATGATGAGGCGAGTGCTCGGCTTTACGAGCATTGATTATTGAGAATTGTGGCTGCGAGAGTTAGAAGAAGAAGGCGGCAGACACTCCATGCCCCCCGACGAAATGCGTAATTTCCAAGCAAGCGCAGCGCTTATGGAAGAAAAGGACGGGGCGAGGCAATCTGACACCACGTATAGCTCGCCTGGGCAGCGATTAATATAGCCGTAAACACTTGCCAAAACAGAAGCCATCCCCGATACATTCAAAGTGGCTCTTTTATTAAACTTAAGGAAAGAAGGCCCTCTGCGTATATGCCAAGGCATTGAAAACATGACAAGCATAGCATGTCCAAATCAGTGGCAGACAGTCGCCAAGACCAAATATTTCGCTCAAGCCATAATGCAACAGGAACCGAATGTGAAGAAGAGGATGGAGCTGAGAAGAAAGACTGAACAGAAGTTCGCTACCCTTTATTCCCTTCTGTGGGCTTTGGGTCACCGCATAATTCTTATCTAACGATGGCAATGGTCCCTCATTGGCCCCTTGTTTTACACATTATCGAGTGAGATGTTAGCGATGGAACCGCAGATGGTTGGTTGCTTTGCTGGGATCTTCTGACATTCGTGTTTCCTGGAGTTGTAAGTAGCCTTGCGCGTTCAGGTGCTTGGTCAGGTAAGTCACAGGCTTGGAGCCTCGAACTATTTTCGAAAACGACGGTTTGTTCGAAACGTCGATCAATAAAACGGTTCAGGCGTAGGAAACCTGTACGGCAGAGTAGTATTGAAATTAGCTACCCTTGGCATTTACCGCTTTATTGCGAATTGTTTAAGGGGTAGTAGTAAACGGGCTGAGTTAGCATGCTGTACCAATACAGTGTCATTGGGAAATGTCAGGTAAACTAAGGAAGAAATGAGATGAAAAGTAAAAGTAGTGACTATTCATAATGCTTCCTGAAATAGAGGGGGATTTGGAAAAAACAAGGGGTTCTAGCAAGAATGGACGAAATAGAATCGTCTTGTCGAAGCACTCCTTTGAGAAAAGAAAAAGGCTGTGGCAAAAATGAGGACCGGGAGAATACGTAGCGTGAGGGTGAGCTGCTCGTATCAACGCAACTTTCATGGTGACGTGGACCCCTCGGAAGGAAAGAGTCCCGTTGAAAACGGTAAAACTCTCCCACACCATAGATCCACAAGCAATTTTGAAGCCACTATAGGAGAATCGATTTAGGGTTGTAAATAGGCTTAGATCACATCAAGCTAATGTCCACCAATGAAATCGATATTCACCCAAAAAGCTATCGTGTTGTTACACAGAAACGAAGCCTGTAGAGCACTTTGACGCACGTCGAGCGGAAATGAAACCGCGACAGTGATGATGAGAAACGATGTCGGATTTAAAACAAAAGTCGGAAAACCTGTAAGCGCGATTCAATGAGATCTCCCACCCCTACTTGCCTCTCTAAAATGAATGTTCTGGTTTCAGTTATTCACAATGGCACGCCTATGCGGATATACAACCGGTTATTCGAACAGTCATCGACAAAGAATTCTCTCACAAACACAAACGAATTTACCACAAACTTTCTCACAGATTTCTTTTATCCCCTTCAGTTTGAAAAAAAAACACAACTGAAGTAGAAGCATGGCACAGCAAAAATCAGCAAGACCAAGAGGTCAGTATGAAGGTCACTTTGGATAGGTCAATTCAAAAAACTTAAATAAGATTTTCATATGACTGGGAATTCGCCCCGGAATATATTGCGAATATATGACCATAAGGTAATCGAAACCAGCTATAGACAAGTAGCCTTGTCATGAATGCCTTACGGCAAGGCTACTTCTCATATCTGGTTTCGTTTACTTTAGTCACATGTAGTCAAAAGCTCATTAATTCGAAGATCAGTATGAACTATATGTGGGACACCATCATTTTTGATCAATCATAGCAGTCAGAACTAGTTAATCTCCCATTCTGGGTAGGAAAAGCCGTGACGCAATCGCGTGATGAGTGTTTTAGTATTGACGGCATAAATTCACAAGCTGTGACTACTCTCTTTCCTAGAGAAACTAACAAAATACATTGTTGAAAAAAGGATAGCGAAGGCGTTTCTCAAATAAGTCATAAGAAAAAGATGTCCATATAGAAAATGAAAATTCATGAGAACAACTGCTGTTGTTGTTAAGATTCATGAAGTGAACAAAATATTTCAAGAGGAGATGGCTGCCATGACTGCGACGAAAAATGATGACAGAGAAAGAACGCATGAGTGAGTAACCTAGTTCAACATCACGATTTCGAAAGTATGACAGACGAGAACTTTAATTTCGACATTTACCCGTGGTTTCTAGGTAGGCTGTAGCCAACGTAAAAGAAGTTCAATGCTGATGATGTGGCGCTACTGCTTCACAGAAACACAACCAGAAATGGACTTGACTAGCTGCCCTGTCGAAGACTACTATTCAAAAAATGCATTCCATTGAGCGGCAAATTTGCATATTCATAACTCCATAAGGTCCACTGAACCATGATTGAACTTCCCTTTCCGCTCAACCATGCCCAAATTCACAAGGGTATTGACGTATGATGGGACACACAAAGGACGGTCTCTCGGTCCAACCCAAAGCGAAAAGAACTAGGGCAGGTATAACAAGTGATAACCAAATCCTTTTACAATTCTAG